TTCTTTGGATTTGAATCCTAAGTCTCGGATTTAACTTCCAAAGTTTTCTCTTTTAATAACTTGACCAAGCAAATGTATAACACGCAGCAAATGCACACCTTTACCCATTTGGAAGTTACCTACTTGCCTTTGTCATCAACAGTTAAAGACTCCCTGTGAAGATTCTCTGCCCACTCTGAAGCTTTTTACTCACTTGTGATGATCCAGCTATGGCAGGAGGTGGCTTTTCAAAACCACACCAAATGAATTGCAAATAAGATGTAAGAAACAAGACAACTTTGGACTACAAAATTATCTGACGGGAAAGTAATGGGACTTTATTCCAAAGATACTAGTAACAAGGCAAGATTTTGTTAAAACTATTCGGATTTGTTAAAACTACCACTTCAAACTAAATAACAGTTGCCCAGGCTGCAACAACACAGACTTTTTAGATTTTTTTTTTTCTACAATCAATACAAACACAGAATAGCCATCATTCTAGAATTTTATTCCCTATGATTAATCTGAGATCTACTAACAATCTCGCTAAATGTATGTATAAATACTGCACTGGCCAGCATCGTTTTTTCTTGGAATTCAGTTCGGAATTCAGAAACAGAAAAAATATTTCATTTTATGTGCGGAACACAATTTCTCCCGCAAATGAACTTCAGTAGCGTGCTCTATATGCTCCTGCAGGATGAAAAGGACTGGAGAAGTTTTGAAAGCAGAGATGTTTCCCACCAAACACAAATATGCGACTGAACCTTACAACTAAGTAGGGGAACATGCATGAACGATTCTGGATCAGTGGGACAAGGTAAAAAGTAAACGCAAGCAAAAGTCACAAGGACTGCAGCCAGAGACACCCATGCTGGGAACCTAGGGGAGAAACAATTGTATCCTCATAAACACAGGGGGAGGGCAGGAAGGGAGTAAAAAGTCTTTTTTTTTTTTCCCCAAGAAGTTAAAAAATGTCCTTGCTAAAAATTCAGACTGAAGGAAAACAAAGCAGACTGCAACAACCTGGAAATCCCTGCTACGGAGAGGAGTGGTCCAGCAGTGATCCAGCCCCTGGACTAACCAAAACCCACAAGGTTTCTTTTGCAGAGTTGTATTTCTAGCAGTGCGCAACTGCCGAAGGCACAGACACGAGCTCAGTTACCGGGCACCAAGCAAGTTTGCTGACTGTAATATCTTCAACGCCTTTTACCAACCTTTCCCCAGGTAAGTATTGGAATACTTGCTAATAACAGGTTTTACCAAATGCACACGTAGTCATAATGTGGTTGTCGCACACGGGAAGCCATGAGGTCTCACGCAAATCAACCTTCAAGGAACTGGTCAAACCACCATCATCTCCTGGGCTGCAGGGCTGAGCAACAGAGACCAAACCGAACAGCTGAGTCGCTCCACTCTACCAATTCAGTGAGTGAGGACTAAACCTTTTGGAAGAAACATAAAAAAATCAAACATGCATGTTTCTGTAGAAAAGCACTGAAAAGCCTTTAAAGATTAAAAAAGGGCTGTCCCGGTTTGAGGTAAAGAGAACTAATTCTCTGTTCAGTGATTTTTACTTTTCAGGTCAGTGCTTTCTAAGAGGCTACACATTCTGAAGTCAGCAGCATGTTTTTGCAGACAGTGATAACACCTGATGTTTGCAGTTACTGCCTGGGACTGGGATGCAGAAAGGCTCTTGCTGGTACTTGCTCCTGTAGTGATGAAGGTCACCGCTGGCTCTTGCGTGCCATGCTGGGGGTGCTGGGAAGTAAGAGGTTCATAAGGAAGTAAAAGGTTGCACCCCTGGGGAGGAACCGGCAGGATAGATGAACAAGAGTGCCCAATCCATATATGTCAGATTCAGCACAAAGCTGAGGGATCACAGGTGTTGAGCCCTCTCGCTCTAACTGCTGGTGTCCGAGGAGGACTTCATCTGTTCTTCTGCCTTTGATCCCGATCCTGAGTTCCCGAATCCAGCTCCTGTACCCAGCTCCCCTCTGCTGCTGAGCCTGGGGCTTCCCTGGTGCCGCCTGCCCTGCAGCATCTGTGGGGATTGTTGTTGGGGGGAAGCTGGGTTCAATATTGGTTTTGTATATATTTGTATGTAATTATTTTTATTATTTCCCCATTATTACTACTATTATTTTATTAAAGCTGGTTTATTTTCCTTTTCCAATCTGTACGTCTCTCTGCCTCACTCCCTTTTGAGAAGGGAGAAGGGTTAGAGAGCACCTGTCAGCATTCGGTGCCCGGCCCAGCCCTGACCCTCGACAGGGGCCAAAAGCAGCCTTGGCGCTGCCCAGATGGGAAACACTGAGAGCGGAGCGGCTGCTCCTCCAGCAGGGCCGAGTGTGACGTAAATGTGTGAAAGAAAAGGTCATTTTCAAAGACTGTGTTTCGATTTCAAGGTATTTGTGTGGGGTTTTCTCTTGCTGTATTCAAGAAAACTGATTGGTTTAGTTTTCCTGTGTTATTCCCTACCAAAAATCAGGAGACGAAATTAAAATATGTACACAAGTACAACTGGGACACACCGAAACGTATCTGTTGTTCCAGGCAAATACAGCACGAGCTTGAGATAAACGCAAACAACAAACACACATCACATAACTCAGTATTGCCAACTTCAACTTTAATAATGGAACCATCACTTTTCTTTGCCGTTTCAGTAATAACTTTAAGGGGAATAAAAGCTTCCCTACAAAAATAAAACTAAGCTTGTCAAAATTATAAATAGTTTAAATGTTTGTTTTTAAAGACATATATTTTTGTTTCCCTGCGTTCCCCCTTCCCCACCCCCCACCCATATCATTTATTCGTTCTGGTACCATCACATAATGACATGAAAACAGTTTTCCAACAAAAGCTTTGAGGGTTCAATTTGATGCTGAAATTAAAAAAAGCTAAAAACTGACCAGTCATGACCACTTCTTTTAAATTAAGGCCGTTGTAATTGCCAGTGTGAAAAAAAAAATAGAAAAAAAAATAACCCCACACATGACATCTTACAATAATTAACCGTGGACTAAGACAAAATTTAAATAGAAGTTTATTTTGGTCCCCCGCCCCCTTCGCCCCAAATCAAGACTTATAGTGCACACAACACTGATTGAGGTTTTTGGCTGAAGTAAATGCAGATGTGCCTACTTAAAAGACTGATAGTTTAGTTCAAGTAAAACCAAAATTCACATATTTTTATACTCCACTTTTAAACTCAAACAGTGTTTAAATCTGAGCAACAAATGGTTCGATACTGACAGCGATTATGCAATGATTACGTAGTTACGGGCAGATACATAAATTAAGTAGATGTTAACAGAATACCCACCAACATGCTGCTGCATTCATAGAAAAACAAATGGTAACAAAACATAAAAGCATTCCCTGAACCATTATAAAGTGTCTCACTTGAGGATAATGTCACTAACTCACACATGCACTACAATGTTACATGTGAAATTAAAAACAAACAAGATATGCCTTATGTATGCTTTATAGTTAGTCCTACTCTTAGTTTTTCTTAACGCTTTAAAACATTATGATTGTCTCACCAAGCTTGCAAATTCTTCTTACTAAAAACAAAACAAAACTGTGAGGAGTTTAAAAGAAAGTCTTTTTAAGGATAGGAAACAAAGGCACAATTACATCAAATTACGGGGAAGAACAGAAGCATCTTGGAGTTTCACGCCGTATCCATTAGATGTCACCAAAGTTTTAACAATTCCCTGGGAATTTAAGACAAACACCCAAAGCGAGAAGGGGAAAAAAAACTCCACCGCTTCTCCTGCTCTTTAAATCATTAGCGCTCCTTCACCTGCCCCCCCCCAATATAATATCTCTCGTATCTTCTCTGGCACGATAAATGACTAAAGTATCAGACCTGCCTCATGCTTCTATTGCAACACCCACTTCTTTGGTTTCTTTTGAACGTGCTTTTTTCGATAAATAACTCTGAAAGAACAACATTTATATTTACAGCAAAGTAAAAGGTTTTCTTGCTACATTTCTCCTACTTTTAAATCAAGTAAATCAGCAGTCTGCAGAATTTAGTAATCAGATTTTTCAATCAATAATTTAAAAACCATAAGGAAAAGACCTCCTGAATTACTGAAAGCAAGAGTTACTAAGCTCAGTCACTGACACAGCCAATAAATGTTCAATTTTCTGCTAAGCTGGAAACACGAATAAGGAATTCTACTTTCTTTGCCTGACTGAGCCTTTAACAAACACAGAAGCAGAGGAAGTTATTTTTGTGTTTCAGATATGATAAATCAAAATAATCCAGCCTAAAAATGGATCGCTGAGCCAGAGGAAAGAGCTGACTTACAATAAAGACCAAATGCACCTGTAGTTATAGCTTATGTCTAAAAACTCTATAGTTAGATAGGCATTTCTCTCAGTTATCTGAGATGGTGTCCACTTTTCAGAATTCAAGTAAGCAGCTTTTTAGCCCTGCTGCACTTTTCAACAGCCCTCCCCGTTCATTTACAAAACCACCTTCTCGTGTCTGTGCAGCTCCATTTTCATTTTTGTTTCGCTTCTCCCTCTCATTCCTTCCCATTATTTCTATTATCTTTATTTCTTTTCCAGTGTGGATTTATGCAGTTAAAAAAAACCATAAAACTTATTCACAATATTAAAACATCCTAAAACTTTAATCTTGTACAACTAGTATTTTAACTTTCCTCTGTATAAATACTATCTCCATTTAAAACCAGCCCTCCTCTGTCAGCTGTTTTGAGTTCACCTCCCTCAGCTCTTACCTTCTTTTCAACTTTCTCTTCACCTTCTCCAGAAAGACCACTTTAAAGCCTTCCACAAATTTCACAGAACAAACCACAAGATCTCGTATGCCTTCCATCCTTAACAGTTCCCTCGCAAATTATACAGTAACTATTTGAAAACAGAAAGGTAGTGCAAATCAATTTCATCTCAAAGATAGTGCTCCAACTAATTCTTGTCCAGACGGTTTTAAATTTTCTTTTTAACCCATCAATTTGCACATCCTTTACTTGTAAAGCTACCCTTAAAGTAAAGAAGAAAAAAAATAATAAAATAAAATCTTATTTCATAGCATCCTAGAAAATTGATTACAGTTTCACAGCTTGCACCAAGGTAACTTGGAAAACTCTCTAGGCACACGGAGGGTTGCAAACTGATGTACAAACATGCAGAATCCCTTACTTGTGGGTGCAAGATGCTAAGTGACCTGGCTTACGGAACTAAGTCTATAGCAAAATTCAGGTACCCTGGCATCGCAAAACAGTCTTCCAAATAAAGAAAACTACTCTCTGCTGCTCTTTGTAGGTTGGGTTTGGCATGCTATACTGACATTTGGTAGCGTGCATTTCTCCTGAGTGTCCTTTGGCCCCCTTTTAACCAGGTTTCCACACCCCACCAAGGGCTTCTTCAAGTTTGTCTCTGTAAGCTGCGTAACGCTTCTTTAAGATTTGCAGTTGCTCGTTTTCCTCTTTGTCCAGTATACGCAAGAAGTTTTGCAGTTCAGGAATACTAAAAGCTTCCCACTGGAAAGAGAAAAAGAGGAAAGGATGGATGAGATGGAATAGAAAATACGCAAATAACGTATATGCAACATTTTTAAGCAAAACTTCAGACGCTCAAAATAACTTCAGACTGAAACAGTACCAGACACCCTCCTTGACAATCTTAGGGATCTGAAAACATTTTACTCTTTTAAATTGTTTGTTTGTTGTTTTTTTTTCGTTCTGCTACTAACAACGGGTCAGTCTGACCACAAATGAAACATCTACAAAAGGCACAGAGTAAATATAACTAGAAAATAAATAATCTGCTTCTGAAAAATGAAACAAATTATCAGCATGGATCAAACAGGAGCCCACTCATCCACGGAGCTGAGCGCACACAAAACCAGCGGGAGCGTAACGTACCATGACTTCTCCAGTTTCATGCTCACGTAGAACAAAACTGAGCATTTCTGTCCTAGGACCCGCCACCAAACGCAGGTAGAGGGGATGTTCTCGGTCTGACAGCTTGCATGTATAAACTGCAGGAGGAGAAAACCAGAGGGATGCATCATCCTTACTACAGATGTTCCAAGTGCTTTGAATGATTAACGCTAGCCAACACTACAAAACTTCAGCGATTACACACATGTAGCCACAAAACTTACACGCTCTACATACTGAGTAGCAGTCCACATACTAGTTTTGAGCAAATGAGTTTTAGGGAGAAGCTGAGCAGATGACGGGTGGTAACAGTTCAAAACAACATCCACGTAGGAATGGACTGGCCTCTAGTCACCACAGTACATCATCTGAATACACGCAGGGGAAAAATTCACCCCCCAAAAAAATCACCACCACAAGTCTGTTGCTCTAACTAAGCATTTAAGACATGAGAGCTGCAGTGTCACTATTCCGATACCTCTTCTCACTTAAAATCTCATACAAAAGACAACATTGCCTGCCTGACACGGTCGGTGTGACCCACAGCCAGAAATATCTGAACTCCCGAAACTGCTCCCAATGTCCAGGGAAGAAGGTGGATTCTAAGTGCAAGAACACAGCGTTGGCAGGAGGCACTTTTCACTAAAAATACCTTTAGCATCTTCTGGTACTTCCAGACACAATACACAACAAACTTCTATCAGCAGTCAGCACGCTGGGAAAGCCACACACGAGCACGACACGAGTACGTGCCCCATGATGCCCATCACCTCAAGAGCTGTCTGCCGGTGCAGTGACTCCAGGTATCGCAGATATCAAGGCTCCTCTTTTTAAAACTCCGTCCTGTAATTTAGTCTCACAGACCTGCAGCGTATCAGGCTAGCTGCAGTTTACAACCTGATAATGGGGTGTATTAAATAAAATATAACGGACTGCCAAGGCACAGGAGATCTGCGCAGACGGTTTAGTAGGCTACTTTGTGTTTCGTGAATTATTCTGAAATATCCCCAAGTCATTTAGTCTCTTCCACATGCTAGTCTTCACAAGGAAAACAGACAAGAGAGGTCAAGACTGTCACCTCCACCTACCCGAGTTCTTCCACCCTGCTTCTTTCAAGTATTCCTAGAGCACCACTCCCTCCCCACGCCCCTTCACTACCCAAATGCCACCAGGTGAAGTCGTACCTTGGTCTTCCTTATGACAACGTTTATAAAGTGCAAACTTGGCAGGGTTGTCAGCCACAAAAAACTTTTTGAGCAAGGCCTCGATAACTTCGCGAACGGTGTTGGTGCTGCTGATGTGAAGGGTGTTCACGCAGCCGTCTGGCAAGTAAAAAGCGGTTTCGTTATTGCTCTGAACGCACCTCCCCTGGCTCTGGGAGGACTGCACAGTGATCGGTCGGCAGAGTTCCAGCTGAACTTTGATGAAGCCGGTGTAAACCCCATTCGCGTTCTGCAACGGGAGGAAAGGATTGAACTGTCAAAAATGAGTGAGGACCAGCTGTGACATATGAGAGAAGTGGGCAGGTTAAAACAGTCATAGTCAGCAGCGCCGCTGTAACATGCTATGTCTTGTCGGAAAGAGATATAATTTGATAGTTTGGACATTTATTCTTTCCGTGTATCTGCTGAACACTATTCTTTTTTCTTAATACTAACCACTGAATTCTAAGAGTATTAGGACCTCATCAAGGAAAAGGTACTACAAACTCGTGCTAAGTTTTCACATTAGGAGAGAACTATTGGCTTTAAGTTGCACCAGGGGAGGTTCAGGTTAGATATTAGGAAGAACTTCTTTACTGAGAGGGTTGTCAGCCATTGGAACAGGCTGCCCAGGGAGGTGGTAGAGTCCCCATTCCTGGAGGTGTTTAAGAGACGGGTGGATGTTGTGCTGAGGGACATGGTTTAGTGGTGCTGACAGGGCTAGGAAAAGGCTGGACTTGATGATGTTGAAGGTCTCTTCCAGACAAAACTGTTCTATGATTTTATGATTCTGTGATGCTAACTATGAAGTGAAAAGATCACTGACACATGTCTTGAACAACAGGTTTTACGCAGAAATACAGAACTCATCTCCCACATTTTAGCTGTGCTTGTCGAATTAGTCTAAAGCATCTAGATGAACAAACCCTGTTGCAATTAAAAAAAGAACAGGAATAAATGCCAGCCTAATCAACATTTCAAATTATATATTCCTGTTGCTTCTGAAAGACAAAATATCAAAACTGATCAAATTTTACCGAGCTAGAAAGTTTTAGGAGGTCTTATGCATAGTCCTGACCCACATGCAAACACATAATAAAATCATTTTAGCACATAGTCATACTTGTATGGTTTAGGATATAACAGAATTTCCGAGTTTCCATATACTATACACACCCATAGGAGTAAGTAACAGATCAGAAAATCTGGACGACACAACGACTGAACAGCAGCTTCCCTGGCAGATAGATGTGAATTTTATTAGCACGGTCTGCAGTCAGCTGTGTTAAGTCTCAGACCTGGTCCCCCCGATCCTTGGGAAGCAGAAGTCTACCTGCATTCCACTGTCTGTGTTATGGGGATGGGGGAAGGAAGTCTCCTCCTGCTGCAAAACCTGTACAACTACTCTGAAAGTTAAGTCTCCTGTAATAAATATTGCATGTTTTAACTTTTCTCATTGGCTGAGCATCTTTCTCAGAGATGCCTGTCAAAAATTTATCAACATAAATAAGACAAATATACCTTCATGTTGACTCCCTGAGGGTTTTAATCTGACAAATTTACATCTTAGCGTCAACTAAGACTTTAACTTAAACACATTTCAAATGACATATACATCTCTTTCAATCCATATAAAAGAGTTATGTGGATAAAACCACTTCAGAAGTGAGATTTAATTTCCAGATCTAAGAGTGAGTCTCTTACAAAGTCATTAAAACAGAGACACTTTTATGTGTAAGATCCTGAGAATAAAATTATTGACAACAAACTACAAAATTACAGTTCAACGGCCTCTTTTAAAAATTACAGGAATCTTGTGCAAAACTTACCAAGGTCATCTTTAATTTATCAGTGACAGACGAATTATAGCTCTGTATCTTCTCTTTAACTTCTTCTTTACTGAGATAAACATGAGGTTCTCTCTCCTTCTGAACATCCTTCAATAACAACAACAAGAGACAGCAGTTTTAGAAAACAAATCAGAATTCTTTTATGACTTCAGATATGAGCATTCTTAGTCAAAATGGTAATTATTCCACAGAGGCTCAACGTACAGTAATGAGCTGTACAGCAACAGAAAGGATTAACATGTCAGGCAAATCAAACAGAACACTTGGACTGGATGGAGACGGTTAAATCAACACACCCAAAGACACTTGTGTCCTTTTTTTGCCAACTGTTTCCACTCAAATATTTATCAGCAGTATGTCAAACAGCTCAGCAAGTTTTATTGCTTGATTTGCTCATGTCAGTGCTATGCAATTTTGTTAAGAAAACAGTTACAATTTTTCATGAGATATTACTTGGGGCACAAACGGGTATCTCTAACCAAATGAAGAGCACTTACTAACAAGTAATACCAACAAGCCCAGCCTGTGCCGACAACCGAAGAGCATTCCAGCGTGACAGTGTGTTACACATACAGTCACCAACTACTACATGATCTATCACAAGTAACCCTCTGGCTATATGATGTTACACCAAATTCATGTTTTTTCCATGGGGAAGGCCCTATTAGATTTTTTCAACTGCTGCTTTTACGATCTCCCTACAGATTTTACATGCAGCAGTAAAATCAGTCCCTGGAGCTGGAATTTATCCAAACAAACATTTGTTCCCAATACATATTCCTGCAGCTAACTGGCGTTATAAATACACTCCGGTTTCTACCACTAGCACAAAGGCCATATATAGTATAAAAGAGTTCCAGCTCTCAGCTTTAATGATTTAAGACTAAGAAAGAGAGAAGCTTTGAAGAAGCTTGAAACTTTCAAGGTGCATCCAAATGGAGGAAGACACATTCGGCGTACGGACAAACTGCCAAGTCACGGTGCTCCAATCTGTCTTGCAAGCACATCCCATGAAAGGATTTCCCCAAATAAGCTTTGGAGCTTATGCCACGGAAGGATTTCCCCAACGTCAGTGGCCTGCCCTGTGTCACAGTCTTTGGGATCCCGCTAGGCACACACCTCTGTGGACACTCCAGCTTGCCAGAAACGACCCCAAAGATGAGCACGTCTGGTTGCGGAACTGTTAAGTCTCCGTTTGCCAGAAAGAATCCACACTTTTTCCGCCTCCTAATTTAAAACCGGCTAGTTTTAGCATTTTGGGGCTTAGTTTTGCTTTTTCTATATGGTATTTTACTAAATGACATGCTGGAGCAGACTTTCTTTTCCCCATAGCTATAAAAAGAAAGGCGTGGTCTGAATGGAGAACTGGAAGCCAGAAACCTTGAATTCTGATCTGGACTCAGATACTGATTTCCTGCATAACAGAGAGAACATGCCTTGAATTCACACATCAGGAAAATGAGGCAAAAAGGAACACCACCAAAATGCAGCTCTCCTACCAGTTCCTTAAGCACAACTCTAATAAGATTGTGCAGCATCTCACATAGCTGCCAGACCCCACCTAGTCTATTACAAAATACCAAATTACTACATATTTTCAGAATTCAAGTTTCTATTCTCACTAGAGAAATTAAGCTTTTTTGCACTTCTATTTTCTTTTTCCAACTCCTTCCTCCCCCAAACTGCCATACTAATGACAGACAGAGATTCATCTAATCTGCTCACTTCATCTCTCTAGAGGCTCTTACGACTTCTGTAGTGTTCTATCTGGGGGAAAATTAATAGTTATAAAACAAAACATGCACAGGGGAGAAAAAAAAAGTAGTATTTTTTTCCTCTGAAGTCAAAGTAAATGTTATTGATAGTTATTTTAAGCACAAAAAGAGCAAAAGCAAGAGCCCATAGTCACAGACTGGAAATATGGGCGCTCTAAAGGTTGACTTCAAACCATGTTGTGGCAGTGGGACAGGACACCCTTGGCGGTGGATACTGGAGGGACAGGGACAGCCTGCAGGCCTCTGGCTGGAAAGCTCTGGCAGGGCACTGGCCATCGGCACAGCTGATTTCAGGAACCCAAGCTTTAACTTGGAACGCTCTTGGTCTGCGTAGCTGCAGACAAGCCCCTTTACATGGACATCGTCTAGGACTCATCTCTGAGAGACAAGCACGTTGTCAAGTTCACGCCTTTCCAACCCGCTAACACTGCTGATACCTTCCAACAATGGACACTGCTCTTTTAATATTTGTCACTACTGCTGATTGTTCAAGCAGGTACCTCTCATCTACCCTATTGGGGCTGATTGTCACCACTGAAGTCATCTACAACATCTACTACCAAGAAGAGAAAACACTAAGCAGGAAAGAAGAAAACACTCACCCCCTTTCCTATGTCCAAACTTCAACTTTTCTTTAAAAAAAACAAAACCACACAATCAAAACTAATCAAAATAACCCCACTTCACATTAACTTCTGTGCAGCTCAAGAGGTTTCATTTGGCAAAAAGTACTTTTAATGACTGTAGATGACAAGAAGAACCTATTGCCTTTAATGGCATAAGCTAAATTCACAAAGCTGACATGCAGAAAACAACATGTATCATTATTTTTTTTAAAAGTATTAAAAAAACCCCAACTTAGTGAACAGTAAATAAGAAAAGAGAGCAAGTAACTTTCTCATTTTCATATAGGGAAGTTTTCACATACATTTCTCTTCTTCCGAGAAGACAAATTTTTCTAGCAAAGTGACAGAAATTCAGTCAAGTTAGAAAAGACTCAACCTCATGGAGATCACAGGAGTCCTGTGGACAGCCCAGGGAGCCAGGCATGATGAGCAAAACTCAAGAACGGCACCTAAGCAAGCTAAGTTCTGATAGACTCAGTCAAGCCTGTAAGGAGCATCAGGAGAACACAGCACAAAACGCTAAACAGGCTCCTGATAGAGCCAGATGGATTTGCAAGAGCGGGCTTGATGGTGCTGGAACTGATGGCAAGGGCAGAGAAAGCGGCAGCTGCACATGTTGGTGCCGAGCTGGAGGCGGTAACTCCATCAGGCTGGTGGCAAGAGGGACATGGAAGCCAGGGACAATCAGAGCAGTGCCAGTCTGCTCTAGTGCGGCTCTGCTCAGAGTTGGGGGTCGCTGGGCATCACCGGGGGAGCTGAGCTATGACCCAATTTGCGACTTGAATATGTCACTGGAATTTCTACCTGCTTGCGTCAGCACTAGAGGCCAGGCAATTTTGGCAAAGTTAATTAAGCACATGCCAAACTGTTTATATAAAAGCTGAGATAACCTCGTTCTGTAGCATACTGCCAACAAATGTAGCTGTAACTCATCTTCAGAACAGCTAAAGCCTGTGTCCAGTTTTGGGCCCCTCACTACAAGAGGGACACTGAAGTGCTGGAGGGGGTACAGAGGTGGCTGCCAGGCTGGTAAAGGGCTTAGAACACAAGTCGTATGAGGAAAGGCTGAGGGATCTGGGGCTGTTTAGCCTAGAGAAGAGGAGATTGAGGTGAGACCTCATCGCCCTCTACAACTCCCTGAAGGGAGGCTGTAGAGAGGTGGGAGTTGGTCTGCTCTCCCTAGTGGAGAGTGATAGGACCAGGGGAAATGGATTTAAATTGCGCCAGGGGAGGTTCACGTTAGATATTAGGAAGAATTTCTTTACTGAGAGGGTTGTCAGCCATTGGAACAGGCTGCCCAGGGAGGTGGTTGAGTCAC